GCTGTAATTTGAGTAACTTGACATTTGGCACATTTATTTTCTGCTACTCTATTTCATCGTCTATAATGTTAGATGGCCTGATTATTATGTACTTTCACATGTGTGTTTCAGAGTCACTTTAACCTGCATGAAAGCTGTCTTAAAGCAATTTCCCTGTGTGGGGGAAATTAATATATATATTGTTTTGATTGTACCTTACCTTTTATGAAGCAAATCTATTCTTGTTTTTCCACTGATTATTCACGAAGGCAGAAAGTATCTGAAAATATCTGTGGCATCTGGAGTTATGCTTGCTGTGTGTTTTCTTTCACAGTTTTGTCTCTAATGAAGGTGCTTCCTTTACTGCCAACACTTTGTAATGCACCATTTTTCACTAGTCCTTTATAATTGGTTTTCCTTTCCAGAAACTTGGATTTTAAAAATTACTTGAGATTACATGGATATCTTTAACTGGTAACTGTATTCAGATGTGTCAGTCATTCAGCCTCCCATAATGGGAGATGCTTGCCATTTCTTCTTTTTCTCTATGATATCTTTAGGGATAGAGAAATTGTGATCGAATCTTAATTCACCCTGAATACAACAGACTTAGGAAGTTTGAACATTGGAAATCAGAATGGGAGCATTTGCATGTTCTGAGTTTGCAGCCTTCCCGATCTGCAATACTTGATGGTGCACATTTCTCAGACACACTTAGTGTGGGGTCAGTGTCTCAACACCAATTAGACCCTGCCTTTGCTCGTCTCACTCTGCCTTGAAAGGAATACACTCTAGCAGTGTCAGTTATTTACATAATGGTTTGTGTTCTACCATTATATATTCTCATGTCTGAACCATATCCCTGAGGTTACCAATAGATATGCCTACTGTGTCATCCCTTTTTACTGGAAAAGCAAAAGGTGGGGCATATTTGTTGTCCTTTTCAATATTGCCTTGAGTACACGTTTGTGTCTCTTGTTGTAGTCTTAGCTAACACGGAATTCTGCTATGACCCTTGGCATTTTAAAGCACAGGACCACCCTTGTCTCTCTAGATCCTTCCTTCCAAGCTGAAATTTCCTTAGTCTACATAAGGTGCGAAAACAGCAATTAATGTGTAATCTTCAAAACAAAACAAAAATCTGTATGTTGTGAGTTAGTGTGTAAAGGAAGCATCTCACCTGCAGGGTCAGCTCTCAGCTATGTGAGCTCTGATGTATTATTTACCTTTTCCACTATCAGCTTCACCTTCTGTAATGAGTCATCCCATGGGCCTTGGGTTTTTTTTTTTTAGTTGACATGTCAAATCATAACATTTCTTAATCTTGTGGAGTAACCTGTTGTGATATTTATGTATGCTGAGTGGTGGTCAAGTCAGCCCAAGCATATCCAGTTCTTAAGATACTCATTCTTTCTTTATGATGAAATTGTCCAGAATACTTCAAATATATGGTAGATTTTTACTTAAAAATTGTTTTGTGTGTACCAGTAGGGATTAACCCTAGGACCTTGTGCATGAACAAACCCTCTACCGCTGGGCTGTGTCCCAGCCTCTAACGTTTGTACTGTGCAACCCATAATTATTTTCGGGTGCTCGCTTACTTTACAAAGCACAATAGAACATTCTCTACCTGGTTTATTTCACTTGATATGATCTCTGTTTGTCAGGATAGTGCGTTACTTTTGAGGGAGGAGAGAAGTGGGCGGGCAGGAGGAAGCACATGAATATTGACATGTGTGAAAACTTGAGGTCAGTGTTAGTTGACGTAGTTGCTCTCCATTTTGATTATTAAGACGTGGTCTATCACTGAACCTGGAGGTGGCTGACTCAACGAGTCTAGTTGACCACCAAGTCCCAAAGGATCCTCCTGTCTCACCCTTCCCAGCTCTGACATTAGAGAGAGACTTCCACAGCCTCTGCATCAGCTTCTGCATCCAGGTGACTGCCCTGCTTAAGTTCCTGGCCTGACATCCTTCAGTGATATATATACTACAGTGTGGATGTGTAAGCCAGATAAACCTCTTCCCCCACCCCCACTTGGCTTTTGGTCATGTTCTATCACTGCAATCAAAACTAGCCAGAACACTTGGCAAACATTTACTGGCCAAGCCATCTTGCACCCTCAGAATTTCTTCCTTTCATGGCTGACTAATATTCTCTCATATATGTCTGTCACGTTTTCTCTATCCATTCATCACTTGATGGACGATAGGGTTGTTTCCACTTCTTGGGTGTAGTAAGTAATGCTGCAGTAAATGGGGGAGTGCAGATGTCTCCTTGACATACTTCATTTCCTTTGGATTCATACCCAGGTATGGGATTGCTGGCTTATGGCAGTTCAGTTTTAATTTTTATAGGAACCCCCATAATGACAAAAAGAATTTATAATAAATCACTGCCAACAGTGTAAAAAGGTTTCCCTTTTCTTTACATTCTCGCCAACACTAGTTTACCTTTTGCATATTACCTTTTGTAATATCCCAACCACCACTTTTTTTTACTAGAGTCCATGTTTAGTAAAAATAGTAGATATTAGTGGGCACACACCTTTAATCCCAGCACTTGGGAGGCAGAGGCAGGCAGATTTCTGTGAGTTCAAGGGTTGGCCTGGTCTGCAAAGTGAGAGCCAGGGCAGCCAGGGCTACACTACACAGTGAAACCCTGTCTCAAAAAGCAAAACCAAACAAAACCAGTAGGTAGTTTATATCTTTTATCACTATTGTTGAGATATAAGGGTCCAGGAAAAAGAAAGAGAACAAAAAGTGAACTTTACCTGTAGATTTAGATTAGCACCTTTTCCTATTTTAAAAGTTAGTAACAGAGAGATACTTTTTAGGACTTTTACTGTTTGAGAATTTCATTTATCCATATAATGTATCTCTATCAAATCCACCCCATAGTTCCTCTCTGATAGGCATTCCTAACTAGAATAAAGTTATCTCACTGTGGTTTTAATTTTTATATTGAGACTTTTCCATATGCCGGTTGGCTATTTGTTTGTAGTCCTTTGAGACATAGAGTCATTTTTGTTTTGGTAATAATGAGATTTTGGACTTTGTTCTGCATATTAACCCCTGTCAGATACATAGTTTTTTAATGTTTTCTCTCTGTTTCTAATTGCTTTAAGTTGTTTGTTTCCTTTTTGGCACAGAAGCATTTAATATTATAGTTGTCTATTTTTGTGTTTTCTTTCTGTGTTTTGGGGGTTCCTTGGCTAGTCAGTGTCCTGAAGTGTTTCTTCTGGTAGTTGTCTCAGGTCCTATATTTAAGTCTTTAATTCATTCTGAATTTATTTTGTTACTTGTAAGGATTGGAAGACTGGTCCCCTCATGCACTCCCCATGTGTTGAGGTAGATCTTGCTGTGTAGCCAAAATAGCTTCAAACTCATGGTTCCTTTGCTTTATCCTCCTAGAACAGAGGTTACAGGTGTGCCCCACCAAGGCCGGCAGTTTAAGTTTAAGTTTCTTGCACATAGAAACTGATCACAAACATTATCGCTTCTTAGGGAGTAGGTTTTAGTGAATAAAGAAGTCGTTTATATAAAATTAGTGAATAATACATTACTTATTATCCCTTAAAATCAGTATACCTGAAAAAAGCTACTAAAAAACAAGGGAAATAGTCACTGTTTTGGTTGAACTTTAGTGTATAGAAGGTATTCCTGATCTTTTCTGTGTTACCAGGAGCAGCTGAATTAATTGCCAAACAATCCTAATAGCATATTGTTCATTGTATTCTAACCTATGGGACTTAAATTGGTCTCTAGACTCTAATTTAAATTGAGAGCATCTCAGGCAGGTTTTTACACATGTCAAACACTTAGCTAGGTTGTGTGTGTGTGTTTTTTTGTTTGTTTGTTTGTTTGTTTGTTTGTTTTTGTAATGAGAATAGCTTGCTATATCATCTTTTCCCAAGGCATTTGTATACTTTTTCGGTACTTAAAGGAAAATTAAGTAGTGTCCCATGATTGTGCAGAAACCCAATGAAAGGGGTAGACACTCCTAATGTTTATACTTGAAATTTTTATTCCCTGTTGTATAGTTACATTACAAGGTATGGTCTTTGTAGAACTACTTTAAGTGCACATCCTAAATAAAATTTTAAAACATCAAGAAAAGCTACATTTGAATTATTTTTTAAAGTACTGATTATGTTCCTTAGTTGAAAACAATTTCTGTCAAAGGAAGCCTTGGGCTTTCTTTGTGTTTTTGCATTTCATTGCTTTCTATGTAACCGAAGAGAACAAATGGCAGGATGATAATCCACATGGTTACTTTGGCTCTCCAGGTTGGTATGGCAGTGAAGTAAGCAGACAAAGAAAATCTCCTCTCTCCACATTTAGCACATCTGATTAGTTTCTGGATGGATTGCTTTTTAAATGCCTCTCTTCCCAGTCATTGAGAAGTCTTAGTTCTAACTATGTATGCATACTTTGGCAACCTCAGTTTTCTGTAGCTGTGTTTCTCTTAGGCTCCAAAAGATGTTTAAAATTTAAGGTTAGCTAACCAAAAAGTAATTAATGATAAATCAGAATCTAAGTCAGTTTTGAATTATGCTGTTGTTTGCTCTGTAAAAATGATCTCGTTCCCTTTTGTCCCAGTAACCAAGACTGTTGCCACAATTTTGTACGCCAGCACCAAGTTAAAAAACCACACGTGAGCCAGTGTTCTTACCTTCTTCCCAGTATATGTGCCCTAAAACCCTCAAGAAAAAATGGTTTTAAAATTATTTTCATGTCTACATAAATTGCAAAATTTAGACCCTCATTCTGAAGCTGACATATTAAAAAGCATATAATTAATGGTTGACATTAGTAATTAACATTAACTTTATGATGTTTAATATGCCATCATTCATCCTTCAAATAGCAAGAAATGCATTATGCCTTGGCATAAAGATTTTAGTTGTATAAATGCTCCTTCGGTTTTCTCAGGATATAGATGTGAAAGAGAATGAAATGTGTTGAAAAGACTTTTGTTTTCATTTCTCCAGGGTGAGCTATAGCTGTGTTTCTTTTTAGGAATGTTCACCAGCAATTGTGTCAGGAACTTCAAAGGGAGAATGTGGACCTCATGGTGCAGGCTTCATTATCGGCTAAAGAGCGCCACCTTGCTGCAGTCGCCAGTGCACTGTGGAGGCATTTCTTTTCATTTCTGAAGAGTCAGAGAATGACACAGTTAGTGCCTCTGTCCCAACTTGCCGATGCCGCTGCAGGTCAGCGATTGTTCATTACTAATTGCTTTCTCTCTTTGCATACTTTTATCAGTATTTTCCTCGGTTCGCTTGATGACAATCTCTTGCTTTATAACAAACATTGTGACAGTCAATTGATGAAACAAATGACTGTTTAAATTGGGTGTCTTTGGCTTATGTATCATTAAAAATTAAATGATTATTTTTTGTTTAAAAGGGTAATTTTTAGAGGTAAACATTGAATGTTCATAAACTTTTCTTCACTCACAAGTGCTTGCAAAGTAAGGTAGCATTTGATTATATCTAGTTCAAGTAGTATGCTTTCATATTTTCTGAGCAGTTGTCTAAATATAAGATAATTTGTATGAAGACTAAGAGGGCTGGGGAGAACAGGCCTTCAGCACCAAAAGGAAAAGATCAGGGTGGGATAAAATGCACAGAATGTTAGTATTCTACACTACTTCCCCTAGATTTTATTTTAGAATGCAATTTGTATTTAAATTGACTATTGGCCCAAAGACATGACCTTAGGCTCTCAGGGACTCTGAATCATATACAATTAGGCAAGATTTTAACTATATGGACATATTTGCAGTTTACTGAGGTCATTATATATTTTTTTTCAAAGAACTGTTTTGTCCATGATGTGTTTAAAAGTTCTGGAATAAGCAAGAGGTTTGTTTGCATTGTTATACTGTATGTATTTATATAAAATTCATTTGAAAGTATTTTACATACATGAATGTAATGCTTTGAAGAAATAACAATAAAAAAACCCGATTGTCTAAACCAGCACTTATTTTATTCTTGGATGGATGAGGAAAGAAAAAGTCCATAAATGATGGAATAAATGATTAAAAATAGACAGCAGTTCAGACTAGACTTCATACAAAGTATGTTAAGGCGTCCTACAAATATGAATAGAAAATTGTGTCAGGGTCATGGTTTCTGACTAGTGTGGTGTCTGAGATAATACATATTGGTATTCAGTCAGTTGAACTGTTTTCTGTCATCCAGAATGCTAGGCCATCAATAAAAGTAGTGTTGCCTCTGTTTAGTCGGCACTGTCCTCGGTTCTGAAAGTAAGTGCCAAATAGATCCAAAGTCAAAGGCGTAGATTTCTGATTTGAAGTAGACTCAGGTTGAGAGAAAATGATTTCCTTCATTTAAGAAAAAGTCACTTCTGTAGTACTAGGGATGTACCAGTGTAGGAGGTACCACAAACAAGAACACCCTGTTCTACTAGAGATTATCATCTAGATCGTTTGCTGTGTTATTTCTCTGGGATTCTTGCTCTTTAGCCGGGCTGGTAGAGCTGTGATCCTGCTGACCCAGCTTCCCTAATCTGGATCACAGAGGAACAACAAACACCACATCCATCAAAAACAAACCAAAATGGGGGTGGGGGGACAAAAGATAGAGGGCTCAGGAAGCCACTGACTTGAGAAGCAGGTGGGCGGGGGAGCAATGGGTAGGTAACTAGAGGGAAGAGATACAGACTAGGGTGGAGTAGGAAAGGGTGAGAGGCTGAGGTGTGGTTAAATAGGAATGGAGAGTCTGTGCGCTGGTTTTTAAGCCATTATAAAGAATGCCACTTTTACTTCAAGATAAGGTGCTGTGGTTTTTATAAAGAAGAAATGTAATCTTTTTGACTAATGAAATAAAGGGAAGCAAAGAGGGAAATAAGGCAGTTAGGAAATTATTCAAACAACCCAAATCATCTTGGACTACAGTTGTAGTATAAATAGTCAGAATTGGTCAGATCCAAAGGAAGGAAAGCTACTTTGAAGGGTAGACTTGACAGAATTTGCTGAGCAAATGAGGTAAGGTAATCAGAGTAGTTCATGAGAAGAGTCAAGAGTAAACTAGCAATTTGCTAAGATAAGATTATGAAGGGACCATTTTGTGTCACAAAATTGACGATTCTTAAGTTTTTAGGGTATTTTGATTTAAGGTAGCCATTAAAGTAGACTACATTAAATGAGAACTTGGATATAATAAGCATGGCTTCCCTGAAGAGTTCCGAGATGTAGGCTTGTTTGTAAACTGTTCATGGATAAATAGTGTTTAAATCCAAGAAACTGACGAAGGCCTTCAGGAATGTAACACACCGTGGATGGAGAGAAAAGGTTGTGAATCCATTCACAGTGAGTTCCTATGTTGAGATGTGTAGGCTAAGGAGAAGTGAGAGAGGACACTGTCATGAAGTGCAGGAAAGAAGCAACCCGAGAAAGGGTGATGCCCTGGAAACTAGGAAGGGGAATCCATCATTGACTTTAACAGCAGGGCCAAGTAAGTCACCGGTAACCTGGAGAATGGTTGTTTGGGTGCTGGGGTGTACAAATGCTCCTGTGCATAAGGAGTCGGGTGAGCTCCTCTACAATTCTCTGCCTTATAAAAGTGTGGTGTCTTGCTGAAGTAGAAGCTAGTTGGCCAGAGTTCCAAAGATCCACCTGTCACCATACCCTAACACCAGGATTATAGGCATGCAAGGCCATGTGCTGCTTTCATGAGGGTGTTCAAGATTAGAACCAAAGACCTCTTGATTACTTAGCTCTTCCACAGCAAATCATCGCCTAGTCCTCAACAGTACGTTTGTTTGTTTATGTCAGAGAATCAGTGAAGTGTTTGAAGAGAATTAAAGAAATATAGCTGTTAGAGGAAAATAGTGAGTGTATAAGCCATGGGCTATGCCATCAAACTCCCCAAAGAGGGAAAAGAAGGTATGAAAGCAGAAGAGAGATAGGAGAAAGTTATACAGTCAATTGGTCATAGATTCGTTATAAGCAAAGGATTGTTAGAGTTCAGGTCCTAGAAGAGGGGAGCTGGGAAGCAAATCTTATGGAAGTGGAATCCTTAAAAATTAAATTATGTAGAGGTTATAATTGATAGTGCCCAGTGCTTTGGGGTATCAACAAGGGAGAATTATAAGTATAACAGGATAGATCACTGGATTAGAGGAATTCCAAATAAACGAGATCGTGGCATACTCGCCATTGGGGACATTGTGGGCCTAGGAAACTAGTGCCTACAAAAAGAATTTTTTTGCTGATACAGTTTGATGATGAGTATGATATTCAACGCCATGCGTTTTAGGGAGGAAGCAGTGAGAATGGTCTGGAAGTAGCAATATAGAGCAAGAAGTCAACCTACCCTGTCTGTCCATTAGTTCAGTACTAAGAGGTGAATAGAAGAGTAAACAGCCACCATTAGAGAAAGCTTCCAAGGAGTCAGTGCTTCAGAGCAGTTGGTTTGTTGCCACAGGTACAGATGGAGTTGACGAATTCAAGAAAACAAAAAATATTATGTTTAACATGAAGAGTTCTAGTTTCCAGATTGTGGGTTCTGAAGAAATGGGTGTCTTTGGTCATGGGAGCCTTCTGTTTATCAGAAGAAAAGGTTGGTATTTACAGTGAGCATTGACACCTGTGGCAGGTTGCAAGTAAATTAACTTGGTCAAAGAAGAGTAGGTGCTGGAAATGGTTTTACCAGAGTGTTTGAATGGTGGAGGCATGCTGGTAAAACCCACTAGCCTGACTTGAGGGAGCCCTGTCTGTAATCAGACTTGTTACAGAATTTCTCTTCTGGTTCTACAGCCTCTTTGCCCCCAAAGAAGCACACGGACACTATATTAATTATGCAACTGTTGGCCTTCGAAAAGGGCTTCTTATTGGCTAGCTCTATCTGAATTATTAACCTGTAACTACCAATCCATGTGTTTCCACATGGTCTTTTCTTACGAGAGACACCTCACTCACATCCTCTCTTCCCCAAGCTCACATGATGACTATTCTCTGCCTATACTTCCCAGAATCCTCCTTGTCTCCTAGTGCTACATCATCCTGCCTCATTGGCCACAGTGCTTCATCAACCAATAAGAGAAACATATGTACAGAAGACATCCCCATCACAGACTACTAATATATGCTTTTAGACCTTTCACAGCTCACAGTAGTATTACAAACATTTGACAGCATGACATTATGAATTGTTATGTTTTATTTGGAACTTCTAAAATCCTTTTAATTACAAGTGAAGGGAAGATTTGAAAATGTCTCACCTGAACTTTCTCTCCTTTTAAATCTAGATTTTACTTTGCTCGCGGTGGACATGCCAAACACAGCACCATCAGATCTCCAGCCTCAGCCAGTTATATCAATAATTCAGCTTTTTGGTTGGGATGATATCATCTGTCCTCAAGTTGTAGCAAGATATTTAAGTCATTTGCTACAAAATAGGTATGTACCCTTGTTTCAGACATACTTCTTAGTCCACACCAGGATAGCTCAGTATCTTGGAAGGGCTTTTCTAGTGAAAACTAATCTGTACTCTATGTCCTCTCATTCGGTAGATGAGATTTTACCAGCATAATAGCAGCTACTATGAAACCTAAGTTAAGTGGTTTTACGTGTGTGTGTTTATCTGTCTGTCTGTCTGTCACAAGTTTGTACTCTATAAGCCTGCTTCATTATGTTAAAGTGACCTTTCTGTATTCCCTAGAGAGAAAAAATCTTGTATAGGTATTATTTCTAAATCAATAAAACACTGGTGTATTATTGTAGATTTAGACCTAGTGATAACTAAATATTGGATTCTTCTGAGATCATAAACAAGGCACTCCACTTAAACCATCTTGTTGTTGTTCTTCAGTCTGTCTGTACCTACTGCCTTGCTATGCAGAAGCTATAGGGAACCACCTCAGTAATATACAGAGACAGGTATGAGACACGTATATGAAGAAATGAGATACAGTTAGTGTAGAAATAGTGGTGCCCGTGTGGGAACTTCATAAAGGCATCAAGAGGAAGAGTGTGAAATCATCTTGCAGGCCTGGCCCGAGAGGCTGAGTACTTCCTGTATCAGCTGCCAGTCAGTGCATGGAGGGTGACTTAGTAAGTCAGTTGTTTCCTGACAAGAATGGTCAGCATCATTAAGCTTACATTTTCTCATTGGGCCTTGACTTCTATTCGGCATCAGTTGGATTGCTTTTAGAATTTCTTCTAGTATGAAACTTCTCTAATAATAATGAATGTTTATTTATTGCTCTTTAATCACTCAGTGTTATTAACATAGTAAAGACCTGTTTGTAAAACTGAGCCTTTTTAAAAAGTATACAATTGAATGGTTGCTTTTCTTGATGACTGCACATATATAAGTCTGTGTGGTATTGTTATGATACTTCACAGTGATGAAGTTTTCCAGTATTTTTGTAATCATATATTATATGTGAAGCTATGCAGAGGACCATGGGACTGTATAACAGTGACAACTAGCATTTAACAAGATGACCCATCAGATGTGTAATTCCTGGTGGGGAGCCCCACCTGGCAACGCTGTAGGGTCACTGAGTGTGGAAGACAGTTGCTTCTGACTGTCATTTCATTTCTTCCCTAAGAACTTGATTTCTTCCCCCACAAAAGCTTTGGGTGTATTCCCACTGCTTGTGTGTATATTCCATAATTGAACACACATACAGCTGTGGATGATCTAGAGGATGATTCTGCTTAAGTTATGTAGTATTGATGGACAGAAATAATGCTAGGATATTTTTCATAACTTAGACTGACATAGGAGAATTCTCAGCTACAAAGACAGCCTTTTACACATTTAGTCAAGACCTCAGCAGATTCTAAGCAGGCTGGTTGCCCCTAGAGACAAAAACACTAGGTCATTCTCCCAGGTGTTGTTTGCTGATTCAAGGCCAGCATTCGAAGCAGTTTAGTCTGCATGCACTCCCTACCACTTAATGTCCAGCTAACTAATTATTATTGTTAAGTCTTGATTTCCCATGTCTGTGAACCCTCACCAACTTTGAGCTATATGCATGGGTCAATGTGACATTCCTAGCCTAAGAGAAACTACATAACTTACGGTTTGAGTTTGGGGTAGGAACCTGTAAACAACCTGTAAGTGTCCAGAGTTTGGTTGAGAGAGAGTGAGGCAGGAGAGTGACAGCACAGAGGAGACAGTGATGGGGAGGTGGGAGAGCAGTGGGTAATGATGTAGGGAGGGAGGCAGAGAGCGAAGGGCAGGGGCAAAGGCAACAGCAGAGAGGCAGAGAGAAAAAGATGTAGAACTAATCAGAAGCTATTGAATAGAGCGTTGGGAGGAGAACAAGAAAGATTTTTTAAAGAGGATTTTTTCCTAGGTGAAATAAAGAGAAAGTTGCCATCAGAGAACATTCGTACCTCTTTATTTTTTCCCCTCAGTAAAAAAGTCTAACGATTAGATAAGTACCTTTCCTAAGCTACCACCACATCCATGAACTTTCTTTGCATACCCTGGTGTTGACTTGGGGGCTGGGCCCTCATAGTCAGAAATAAAACTGCAAGATCACATTTGAGTATTCATTTTTGTTGTTTTGTTTTGTTTTTGTTTTGGGGGATTACTGATAATCCCAAAATATTTCCTCCAGATGAGCTTGCGTCCTTGTGTCCCAAGCCCTAACTGTCTCACTGTATTTCACTTCAATAACTGTACCTTTGGTACTTAAACCCAGAGATGTATGTTGTAGGGATGATGGGTTCTTTTTCACATAAGTATTGGTTTCAGCTCAAATGTGTTAACGTGGGCCTTCTTAAGAATAGGTTCATTGTCCTAAAGAACCTTTCATAATTAGGTGATGTTCTCATAAAGCCATTACCAGCAAAGCAGACTCTGACCTTTCTCTTTCAAGCTTTCTTTCCTTTGTCTTTTCTCCTGTTCTCCTTGGGCATGAACTTTGGGCAGTGGGCTTTCTTTCTCTCTGCAGAAGGAACTGCTCCTTGTAGAGTTTCTCATCTGTGCACCCTGGTAGTTTCCTTCCCTTACTTGTCTTTGTGGCTGAAGGTAGGGCTTAGCCCTCAGATCCATCTCTTCTATTTTGCCTTCCTTGAATGTTCCTGAGCCTCTCAACTCTTTTCTTATGTAATTCACATGACAGTCATTGCATTTATGGTGTAATTCAGTGTATTTATTTGGAGACATGAAGTCCACCTTGAAAATGTAAGGCACAGCCTTTGGGGAGGAAAACTCTGTGTGTGTGTGTGTGTGTGTGTGTGTGTGTGTGTGTGTGTGTGTGTGTGTGTGTGTGTGTGTGTGTGTTTTATTTCGATGTTGTTTCTGTTTTTTGTTGTTGTTTTTTTGAGACAGGGTTTCTGTCTGTAACGACAGCTCTGGCTGTCCTGGAACTTGTTCTGTTGAGGAGGCTGGCCATCAGTTTACAAAATCCATCTGCCTCTGCCTCCTGAGTGCCAGAATTAAAGGCATGAGTCACCACTGCCCAGTGTATGTATGTATTCTTGTATGTATGTATGTATATTAATTAGTATTTAATTTTTAAAATAATGTTTACTAGTAATAGTTGAAGAAACTGAAACATAAAGTTGTTTGTTAGCATTAAGAAAGTTATATGGGTAATGAGCAATTTGTATTTCTGTATTATATACTTTTTAAGAGAATTTATATTCAAACTGTTTTAAAATACTTTTAAAACTCTGATTTATGTGCATTTAAAAATGGTTTTAAGCCAGGCGTTGGGGTGGTGCACGCCTTTAATACTAGCACTCGAGAGGCAGAGGCAGGCGGATCTCTGAGTTTGAGGCCAGCCTGGTCTACAGAGCAAGTTCCAGGACAGCCTCCAAAACAATACAGAGAAACCCCGTCTCAAAAAACAAACAAACAAACAAACAAAAAGTTTTAAACTGGACATTAATCCTCACACTCAGGAGGCAGAGGCAGATGGATCTCTGAGTTTGAGGCCAGCCTGATCTATATAGTAAGTTCCAAGACAGCCAGAGCTGCATAGTGAGACCCTGACTCAAAACTTATTAATTAAACATCGTTTTAGGGGTTGAGGAGACAGGTTAGTGGATAAGGTGTTTGTACAAAAATGATGGCATCAGGTTGGATCCTGAGTGTTCAGGAAACAGTGACCTTTACAACTTGAGTGCTAGGATGTGTATTTGGCAGACCGTAGGAGCTTGCTAGCCATCACGCAATGGCAAGCTCCAGTGATAGACTCTCAAAATACAGTGCAGAAAAGCAATAAAGGAAGCATCCCAACAAAAGCCTTTGGTTTCTGTACATGTGCATATATCAAAACAAAACAAGAAAAAATTTGTTTTGGCATTGCATACTGACATGTTTAAGATAAAACTCTTGCCTATCATTTCTATCCCCAGCAGCCCTTGTAGATTAGAAGTTAGACTCAGCTATATGTTTAGCTTCAGAGAAAGGAGGCTTCTTTTACTTCCTAGAAGGTGTATTTTGGAATGTTGTGTGTGGTAATCTTTGACAATGAGCACTGATGAAGTGAAAAGAAAAGGCTGGAAAGACATATGTAGAAAAATACTGTTCTTTAACAGCTTTTTATCATTACCTCTTTTTTACTGATAGTGCCATTTTTTATTTGTTTCTGTTGTTGTTTGTGGTTATTTTTACTTACATATTATTGTATTGCCTAGTTAACTATACCTTCTTGCTATTCCATACTTCCTAAATTTCTCTAGGCATAAATCTATAGATACACCACCAGTAGGAAAGCAATATAAGAATCAGAATATTAGAAATGAAAACAGAGTGTTTAACTAGTTTTTCATGTGCATCTGTAGTATTCGTTTTCGGCATTTCTGAAGTACTGTATCCATCTAAAGTCAGTAAAGCCAAGGGAGTTGTTAGAATGTATTTCATTACAAGCTCTGTTCTCTATACACCCATTTCACTTTTGTTTTTACAGCACAGTGTGGGAAGCACTTTCTCAGTCAAGCTGTGTATCTTTTCAATCCTTAACTATAAGATCATGGGTCCGTTGTGTTTTGCAAATGCACACAAAACACCTCTCTCAACCTGACTTGCTAATTGGTCTGAATGCTGAACAGACGGTGGGTAAGTGTCACATAAGTTTGCAGGGATTGTATATGGATTAAGTAAACTAATATTCAAAATACATTTATAATTAGCTATGAAAATACATAAAATGTACTTTTGCAGTCTGTTTCTTTGTGTTGATACTTTATTTTTACTACATGTGGCAAATACCATTGCTACAAAGATAAAAGAATTGATTTCCTTAGAACGAAAATCAAAACTTGGTCCTCAGGTGACACTACTTTTTTTCCTGAAGAAGCCAGTCACATCTGAAGTACACACTGAGTACCTTAAAAAGAAGGATACCCAAGTAGGAATATTTGTACCATTTTATGAAGAATTTTGTACATTTTAGAGTTCCCATACAATTCTGTTTTGTGTGGAAGGTGCCTTTTTAAAAGTTATTATTTGTAACTCCTTGTAAGTTTCACTCAGACTGGCCTGAAAATGTTGTACTTTTTCTCTAATAGCTTATGTAGTTGTTTGACCTAAATAACTTTCTGGATTAGGTTGATTGTAAAGAGCCTAATCAGTTTTTTTTTTGTTGTTGTTTTTTTTGTGTTTTTTTTTTGTTTGTTTGTTTTTACGAGACAGGGTTTCTCTGTTTTGGAGGCTGTCGGTCCAGCCTGGCCTCGAACTCACAGAGATCCGCCTGCCTCTGCCTCCCGAGTGCTGGGATTAAAGGCGTGCATCACCAACGCCCACCGCCTAATCAGTTTTTAACTTTATAAAAATTTGAGTTTTTATAACATATTTAGATAATGAAGCATGTGTTCCCAGCACGTGTATGTGTGATGAGCAGTATATGTACAACTTATGTTTTGTATTCTATTGCATATTTATATAATAAGCATGATCATTATCTTATTTTAATAGAAAAAGAGTACATGGAACAGCTAGCTGAAATGACAAGGTTACTATTTAAACTCTCAGAAGTAAAGAATATCTTCTCTAAGTCTCAAATTACAGATTTGCCCAGCCCAGAAGACCCCAAACAAGCACTTATCCAGTTCCTAGAGGTATTTTTCATAAGTATTATCTTCCAAATTTTTTCTATAAAATAGGTTGTTTAATTTGAGTCATATTATTGGTTGTCTTTTATTGTAAAATTCTGAAGGACAGGAAGTGTTGCTCTTAGGTATAGTTCAATTCACTCCAAAGACAGCAGGAAATTTATACTTAATGAAGAATAATAAAACTAAGGAAGAACACATGGAAGCTTTGTTTCAAGGCAAGCAGAAATGAAGGAATATCTTTTGTTGATACTGGTTGGTATCAGGTACTAACTCTACTTGTATAGCGTCTACAGTGGTTCTGACTGAGTATTTACTGCCCTGTGTTTAGACTATTGTCTTTATTAAATTATTCACAATAGAAGTAGATTTACTTTCCAGGATGTTGATATTAACTACATGAAAATATGATTCTAATTGTATAAAATGATTATAACCAATAAGCTATTTCCATATTGTTAATTCCTTTGATTTCTAGTAAACTAAAATATAATTATATGGCAAGTAGAAATGTCTGTAAACCCTAATAATAGAGTATTACTATGCAAATGTGAAATATAAATCTTTGTTGAGTATTTTATGTGACTGTTATAATGAGTCCTGATCAACAGTTTTGGGTCAAAAAAGGAGGTAGAAGGCAGACTTACTACAAGCAGTTTGGCCTACTCTAATTTAGTCCACCATAAATGGATTTTTCTATCAATAAATCAATGATAGATTTTTATAAAATGTTAGATAGTGTCATCTAGGACTCCATAAGAATTTAAAATCCTTAGGCTTTAATCTAAGAGGAGCTTTATTTATCTGAGAATTTAAGATACACAAAGGTTAAAATAATGATACAATGTGCTTTAATACTTAATGCCAATGTATCATTAGATTGGTCAGTAGGAAAGAGTGTAAAGTTTTTGGAATTTATCCTCTGAAGAACATAAAGTTCTTAAAGTTAGTCTGATGTGACCATGTGACTTTGTGAAAATTAGCAAAAGTAATGTACATTAAGGTATAAGTTCAGGAGGAATTGAAAGCTGAGAATATTGCTTCTTAGGGTAGATTTCAGGTTTCTCCTAATTCTCATGGGACTCCACATATATCCAGCCACTAGGACCTGTCACAGAAGTATGATCAAAAAGTACAAAATATTGGGGAAAGGTACATGGGATAAAAGTCCGGATGGACACACACGTTTCTTTGAGTTTCTTCCCAATGCAGGACATAGTTAATTCTGTAGCATCAATTTGTGACAAAACATAGATTTTGTTGACCAGAGAAACTCATTAGCATTCTGTCTATGTCTAGCTACATACACTCCCTTTGGTGAATTCCAGACTTGGAGAATGAAGGCAAGTACCCATTATAAAACCTACTGATTACATGGATATTGTAGAGCTAAGGTCAGGCCATTCTCATAAGAGAGTCACAGCGTAGAGTCCTCCAAAAATCTAAAGGCTTAAACTCCAATTGAGTCTCATTCTTAGAAGTGGGAGTCCATTCTTAGAAATGGGCTCTTTTATAAAGTACCCATGTTTGGCTTTATGTGCTTTTTAATGCATGGAAATAAATAGTATGATTGGTATGTAAGAAGTTGTCATCAAAGTACTAAGAAACACATTATGGTGCTAGAGAGATGGTTCATTGGATAAGGTCACTTGTTGCTATTATAGAGGACCCAGGTTTTAATTCTTACCACCCACATGGCAGCTAACAACCAATTAACTTCAGTTCTAGGGGATTTATTGTGCTCTTTTGGCCTCTGTGGGCACATTAAGTTTGTGTGTGTGTGTGTGTGTGAGACAGACAGACAGACAGACAGACAGACAGAGAGAAATATAAACTATATATATTTCATATATATTATATCTCTAGAAATATATATTTTTTTAGTCTAGGGGAAATTAAAGTTAAACATACTTATTGAATTACCATGGTCACTAATATTCAAGTACGATTCATAGACTGCTGGCAGTTACTGAACCTTCTCAAGATGTTCTGTATCTCAAAAACTATACTGCCTTTTGCACAAATTCTTTGAACATGTTAGCATGAGCCAGCTCTATGGCTTTGGATTGTGATAGTATTGATTAAAATCTATGCCTTATACACTCACAGAAAAGTAGAATTACTGGTTCATTAAAGAATGGTGTTAATTAGTAACAAAATTTAAAAGTTCATCAAATTTCAACCCTTAAACTCCTTCTCCAAATGAAAATGCAGAGAGCAAGTGAAGGACTTGAGTGCCAGAGCAGAGCATTGTCTAAAGAAAGAGCCTGTGAGCACTTGAGTCACAAGCTGAGCTGGCTGCTTTTATCTTGAAAGAAAACTGACAAAACGTGAACATATGGCAGACATTTCTTTAAAAAAAAATGAAGTAAGTAAGCCTATCACTTCAAAGAAAACAACTGACAGTATCTGCTGCTAATAATGCAGTTCAGCTTTTCAAGAAAATTAGAATTTAGGAAATGTACATGAACCTTCATGATCCTAGAGCTTCCTGATATTTAAAGACTTCTGTGGGAACAGGACAGTATCAATGTGTGTATCCTTTTTTTTCCTCCCAGAATGGAATGTCAGTATTGCAAGCAAAATCACTCATGAACTTCCCCAAATTCCAAATGCATTTTAGTAAGCATTCATGAGGAAAAGGTTTATTCACAGTTACTGAACTCTGTTTAATGTAGTTTTAGAGTCAATGAAAGTCTCCATTTTAGTTACTACTATCCTTTAAGAAATATCACTTGAAAATTTTGGCATAATAGCAAAGAAAGCTTCCTAGTCACTTGAAACATCTCTCAAAATACTTTTTCTGGCTATGAATATTGGTGAAGTTGGATTTCTTCACTAGTCTACCCTACTAGCACCTTCCTCTTCTTGCATATCATACATGAGAAGTCTAGGTTCTCAATTAGTGAGTATCATGACCTAAACAACAAAAGTTTCTCAAGGCATGCTTAGTATGTGTTCAAAAGTTTGAGAACTTCTGAATAATGAAATGGTTTTTAGTTTTTTTCGAGACAGGGTTTCTCTGTATTGTTTTGGAGGCTGTCCTGGAACTCGCTCTGTAGACCAGGCTGGCCTCGAACTCACAGAGATCTGCCTGCCTCTGCCTCCCGAGTGCTGGGATTAAAGGCATGCACCACCACCACCTGGCTTGAATAATGAAATGTTTAAAGGACAGAAAGCTAAATAGAAAAGATAGGGGCAAATTACTGAAGTATCTCTTCTCATTTGCCCACTTCACTGAATGTTTTGCCTTTTCTTCATTCTAATGACTTCCATCCATTTCGCCCCTCTTACCCAGCCTAATCTTGGAGCTTATGCCAACTACTTTCGCAATGCTCTCAGCACCTGGTACTCTCATGTTTGCTTACACCTATACAACCTCACCTGTGAGATAGTACAGCCCCTTGCACCAGCCTCCCATGTGTCCACTAGGAGCCTGGTAAGAAGGGCCACATAACTGGTGCCCTTTATGGTCCCAGTGTGGGACATTAAATCCTTTGTGAGTTCCAAGGGTGGCCAGAAACTTCCCTCAGACTTTCTAACCCATCTCTATAGTTATCTCCTTTGTTATCTCCTTTTTTTTTTTTTTACAGCTTTTTACAACCTACCTTCCTCAAAAGTTTGTTGGGTATATTATCTCTCTTTCTTGCTGTCTCTTCTCATGTTTCTATTGACTACCTCTTGGTTTGACCCATCTGTAGCCTCTCAACCACATTTTCCATTTCCTCCACTAAGAATATTAATTAAGCTGTCTACCAGTGACGCATAACAAATATTCCTTAGCTTTTAAATTGTGGAGGGCATTAGGTACTATCCTAGAACTTAGTTAAAGAGATTTTACTTGTAAAAATTGGGCAATGCTACTTGCAACTCTTTCCTGTAGGAATTTGGAGATTTCCAGTCATGAATTATGAGCCAGTCTGTGTAGAAAGCTTTATTTGATTACCAGCTTCTTGTATAACGGATGTTTCTTCCCACTAACGATTTTGCTGAATCAGATGTTCTGTTAATAATAATTACTAAAGAATTAATTTTTCAAAAAATTCTTCCTTGGACCTTTAATTATGAAAAGTAAAACTTAACTCTTCACTAAATTTTTAATTACTGTGAATCTTTATTAGAAATTTAAGGATGAAGACCTAAGTGTGAGATATATCTCTAGTGAACAAGAAAGAAAAAATCGTTTTTTAGGTCTGTGTTGTGTAAGACTTGGAAAGTTACAGCATGTTTTCTTTTATTTATAGGCTGTTGGTATGACTTACAGGACTCTCCAGACATTTTCTGATAAATCTGCCATGGTCACAAAGTCCTTAGAATACATTGGTGAAGTATTAAAATACATAAAGCCTTATTTGGGAAAAAAAATTTCCAGTGCAGGGTTGCAGCTGGCGTATAGGATCATGGGTATGTATATCTGACATGTTTTTGTTACAAACATTTCCTTAACTCTAGCCATTAGGACCCAAGTGGAAAGATATATATATATATATATATATATATATATATATATATATATATATATATGTGCCAGCATAAGAAAGCATGAAATGCAGTGGTTTGCTTAAAATAATTCATACTTATACTCATTATTTGCTGTGCTATTGTTGATACTAATATTAACCGTGAACATAACAGAAAATATATCCAAGCTAACTGCTGCTTATAGTTCATTTCAGTCGCATTATGATACCCAAACCTCTAAAATGAACCATCTGTTAAAGTTCACCTACACTGGGTAAACAACAGAAAGCCATCACTTTCTTTCATTGTCTGTGGTCTTCTGTGTGTAGAGATGGAGGTCCAGGGAGGCACTTAGTGTAATACCAATGACATTGATGCTTCAAATCTAACTGTTTGCAAATCATGTTTTCTCTGTTCAAAAAGAAATCTTCGTGTACATGTTCTATAATGATTGAGCTCATATTTCTTTAGGAAGTCAGTAATTTGAATATCTTTGTTGACTAAAACCATGTTGCTAACCAAAAATAGGAGTGGAATAAAAAGAAATGAGAAATATTTCCTTAGAAGTTTTATATAGAATGTAAGTTTCGGATTTTTTTATTTCTCTATGGCCCAATCCTTCAGTCTGTTTCCTTTAATCTTGAGAATGTATAAATCACCCTTATTTGGGCTGTCTGAAACCTTTTATCTTTGCTGTGAAAGATAAAGGAGAATGGGAAGCGGTGGAAATGTGGATAATATAGAAGGTGCTGAAAGCAGTACTTGTAATTCAGATTATATAATTTTAGGAAAATGGAGATTTATTACCAATTCAACAGTAATATCTATATTATTATTTTAGCAACTCGAACTTATATTTATTAGTCTCTAAGAAAGCTCTCTGACATTTCCAGATTTAGTTTTTGCCGAAGTAAGTGGATGATTAGAGTATGTCTTTACATTACAGAGTACATGATATCTATGTCAAGAATCACGGAGTCCCCTGTGGATTGATCATGTGTGGATTTCAGGCAAAATTTTGCTTACGAAAAACTGAGGGCTGTTTTTGTTGTTTTGCCTTGAGCTTATAAAATTTATTTTATTGTTGTTGTTTTTATTATCATTATTATTTTGTAAACAAGTAGGACTAGATTCTTTCCATTTGCCTAGGTATCAAAGAGTGGGACTAGATTACACAGCTAGTAAATTACTCATTCATTAGAAATTAGGACAAGTAACTTGCTGGGTTTTTTACATAAAAGAATTAGAACAGAATGGAGAAAGAGCAATTATAAGGCTTAAGAATTTGAGCCTGTGTTAGGCTTGGGCTATCACAGCCATAGGAAGGGAAGGGATCGTTGAAACTCTGTGGTTTACTTGCTTGCCAGTTCCTAGCTCAGGATATCTGTGGTGTTACTTTACAAGGCTGTTTAGTGGGTGGCACTAAAACTGCATTCCAGGTTAAGGAGAGTATCTGGGTTCCTAACAGTAGTTGAGTGATTTCTGAAAGAGAAATTGATACATCAGCAGTACCCCCAAGTCCCCTTCACATTCCTTTTCTGAAGGTGGGGTAAATAGGGAAAACTTGGTTTTGGTTTCTCATAGTTTTCTTTGTGTCTCATCATTTTCTTTTCCTGTGCCCAGCATTTCACCGTCCCTGTCTCTGTTCATCCTCCCCCCTTTCCCTTGGTTGATTTTACACTGATGGTCCTTAAGTGCCCCTACCTGCAGTTCCCACTTTTGCTCCATTCCAAGTACACCTTGTCTTTGCCATTTTATTTCATTTGTCTGCTTTAAATAAAAAGTAAATGGGTGTCTCAATGTAAATCTTTTCACTCCTGGTATATGTTTATTCCTGCTGTCTATTTTAACTTGTTTCTGTGATAAAATACAGTTTTTCATAGAGTAACAAAATATACTGATTGGGAGATAATTGTAATCAAAGCTACTTCTTTATTAGGAATTCTCGTTAAGTCCTGGGCACACATCTTTGCCACCTCTAAAGCACAGAAGTTACTTTTTCGGATCATAGACTGTTTACTGCTGCCACACGCAGTGCTACAGCAGGAGAAGGAGTTGCCTGCACCGATGCTGACTGCAATTCAGAAGAACCTTCCTCTGTATCTCCAGGTATACCCACTGCCTCAAAGCATGCTTTAGAATTCAGACTGAAAAGCCAGAAAAGTACATATTTGCATATGGCACATCCACTGAAAAAGTTTTGAATGCCTTTTGGGCTTGGAAACAAAGGCAAGAGAGGCAAATTTTCAAGAAGGTTGAATTGCGAATGAAGGCAAGGCGCTCATAAGTTCCCAGACGCCCATGCAGTATTTTCCTTGGAGACCTTGGTTCTGTGACAGCCAGACTGGAATGGAAGGGACAAGAGAGGCAGCTCCGCAAAGAACTCTGGGTGTGAAGGGCAGAATGCCTAGTAGTCAGATGGCCATTCCTGTCAGGATAACCTAGACAAGGGCAAGAGCTTTGAGAAAAATCTAACTGGGGAAAGGGAGATAGTTCTTATGTGGCTGGAAATGCATACAGGAAGAGACGTGTGATGGAGGACTCCATCTCATATACATACGAAACGCTGGGAGATTTTGAGCAAAGAAGTACGAGTCGTGCTTGTATTTGGGAAAAATGATCCTGGCGTGGGTTAAATTTAAGACCTATGAGGCAGTGACTACTTCATTGAAATACTCCACACGTTACTAGAAGGTTTAAACTAAGGCAGAGAGATTAGAGCCAGTGCAGATGTCAGAAATGTTGATGAAGTCTGATTAAAAATACATTGCTAAATGTGGGAAAGAAACAGAAATGAGTGCTTCCTAGACTAGACTGAGAGGGGCTGGAAAGTGCTACTGGAAGCTGGATTGGGAGATCCTGAGAAACAACCATAAAGAAAAGAATTGGGGTTTTGTTTTGTTTTTACCCACACATGAGGACACATGCCTGTAGTGCTGGGATCCAGGAAGCTGAGGCCAGAGGACCATGAGTTCCTGACCAGCCTGGGATGCATAGAGAAAACACTGACTTTTTATTAGCTTTACTTTGAAGTGACATGTAATGTGTAAATAGTGATATCCCATGGGATGTCTGAAATATTGATTTCATTCTTTAGTGTGTGATACTGAAAGTTAGACCTTTCTAAATCTGACATTCCCTAGAAGATGAGGCAGAAGGAAGCAGATTTTGATTAGTTAACACAATCTTCCATGGTGTAATTTTTTTGAGCATTTTGAGATTTCTGAGAAGTGTTAAGCTGATTCTAGTTATGTGTTCATATTGGTATTTCTGTCAAAGTTTAGTGTGTCATTAAGCAGAGTGACAGAGTAAGAGCAGAGCATCACCTGCCTGTCAGTCTCATGGAGGAACAAATGTATGCAATGGAGTTTAGAGTACCAGGAAAGTCTGGGCGTTTGTTCTATGCAGATGTTTCTTAAGTAATAAAGTGAGATTTTTTGTTGAATTATCTGTCCATTTGATGGAAGTGTTGAGAAACTGCATCTTTAACTTTTAAAGGTACTCTGCTGTCTTTGGCTCTGTAAGTTCTGTCTGCTGCCATCTTCTTTCTCTGCCTTTTCCTTAAACAAAGCACAGAAGACTGAGCGGCAGCTCTACTGTACATTTTAGCTGTGTTCTTGCCAGTATTTCAACAGCTCTACACTATTTTTTGCTATAAATGAACTCCTAGAGTTTTCTTACTAGATACATATCCAATTATGGCTACACTGACATCCTAATAAACATCCCAAAAATTATTTTTTTCTTGAAGTATTGGATTTAATAATTTGTAGGTATTAAATATTGTTATGAGAGTATGTTGCTAACTTTTATATATATGGAAGTGATTATATCAAGATATATGCAGTGAGATATTATGTGTTCCTGTGACTTCTGTTATCTCTTAATTTCTCTGAACCTCAGTTTTCTTGACTATAAAATGTAAATATGCTGTTAACTCCTTTGTTCTATAAATTGAAATGAAATAATGAGTATAAAACCCTTGGCACAATAGCATGTAGATACATTTCTAGGGAGATGTTTATTCTCCGTCCAAGCATCTGAATCCTTCCCCCACTATGAGTAGCTACAAAGTGATCCCATTTCTTGACGTGACAAATTTTTAGGGTAATTGTGTGTCCTTAGCCAGAATGACTGAGTGATAACTCTCCTCCACCCATCTGTGCCTTTGTGGGATTAGCAATTTGATGGGAGATGTTATTCTGTATGTATATGTTTCTCTTATTGGTTGACGAATAAAACTTTGATTGGCCAGACAGGTAGATAGGTGGGGGCTAGGAGACAGAGGAGAAATCTGGGAAGGTAGGCAGAGAGGAGTTGACATGTGAGCCTGGCAAGAGAGGATGCAAATCAGGCATTCTCCAGTCAGATAAGTCCATGTGGAATACATAGATTAGTAGTTATGGGTTAATAATTAAGACAGAGCTAGCCAGTAAGAAGCCCAAGCCACCGGCTAATAGTAATATAATTAACATAAGTATCTGAGTGTTCATTTGAGGCTCAAGGGCCTCGGGACCAGGTGGGCAAGAATCTTCCATAACAGCAGTTGGTGCTCTGAGGGGTGGGCCTTTCGTCTTTTACCTTTTTGCTTGATGCTATACTGAGCTTTCATTTAAACACTTTTAAAAAAGACGGATGAAACGTGTATTTTATAATTTAGTAATAACGTGGGTATGTAGTTGATTGTCATGGTAGTCAAATGTTGTGTGCAGGAGGAAGAGAGGAAGCAACACATTCTCTTTCTCCTCCTGAATGCGTACCTTCTTTCCTTTGGTCATGCCTCTAAAATATACATGCTT